TAAGGGATTCAAACGCTTGTTGACAGGTGTTCGACCAGTAGAAGGGAACTGATTTACGAGTAAGTGTAATCAGTGGTCGTACTATGCGTGAAAACCCTCTGATAAAGCGCCTATAAAAATTGGAAAACCCTAGGAGTGCTTGTAGGTCTTTTACGCAGCTCGGCGCCTCCCAGTCAACAATAGTGTTAATTTTCAAAGGGTCCATCTTAACTCCGGTTGTAGAGACGATCATACCTAGGCATGTGACTTCAGTAGTTTCGAACTCGCATTTCTTGATGTCGAGTTGTAAGCCTGCCTCTTCGAGGGCTGTAAGTACCGATTTAACGTGTTCCCTGTGAGATTGTAAATCCTCTGAGTAGATGAGGATATCGTCGATGTAGGCTGTACAGAAGCGGTCGAGGAGGGGGGTAATGTGAGGGTTGAAACCCATGATGGAGGCTCGGGCCATGCCCTCGCTAAGCACTGGCCAAAGTCCCCTCTCAGCACTGGCCATTCCCCCACTGCCAAGCAAGTCTCTGCTGTTCCATACTTTTCTGTTCTATTCTTTTGACATCATGTATTCGTTNCGCTCAGCACTGGCCATTCCCCCACTGCCAAGCAAGTCTCTGCTGTTCCATACTTTTCTGTTCTATTCTTTTGACATCATGTATTCGTTAGGCAGCTTCCTGGAATATTCCAGAGACTCTTCCTCTCTCTATATATAGAGGAAGAGCTTGCATGTATGTAGTCTTCACGCACTTCTTAATTGAATATTCGAAACCTCACATTTGAGTTGTTCAAGGTCTGGCCTCTCACACTTACACTGTTTGTACACAACTCGGTACTTCAGACAGTAGACCTTTATAGCAAATACTCGATTCTTGAGTCATATTAAGGAAAACTAAGGCCTCATGGGATTAAAATTTCGACTCGTTGTAGCAACGTATTTTTTAAGGTTATTATATTCGTTTCGCTGCCTTTGAACTTTCACAACTTGCTCGTTAGTAATGTTATTATCTAGGTTCGTCGCCTTCGTACCACTCCTCTCAAGAGAGAGATACTATTTGGGTATGTTCAGGTTCCTTCGTATCTCTTCCTAATATTTACTTACAAATGGTTTCGGTAGTTATAAGCTGATCGGATATTTCCCCTTTTTAAGTACAAATATACCTTTAGCTGCCTTTTAGTTAAATCAGCTCTCTATCGCAAGCCACAAATTTCAGTAGAGTATATGAAAACACGTTTGTCCTAATTAGCTTATAAATTCGAACCTAGGGAGAGTTTCCATGCCTAGCAAAGTTCATTTTCATACTTCGCCTAAAAAGATAAAGGGGCGACTCGCGGTCTATTAGATCTAATGGTAATTTAATAGAGAATTATCCGGTAGAGAAAGCTACTTTACTTTTAATTATCCTTCTAATATAGAGGTTAAATCATAGATAGGTAAGTACTAGAAACGAAGATTAGTAAGTAACTTAACGTTCGTTTATAGTATTTTTTCCCCTACTACTATACCACTTATACTACTATACTATTCTATAATCTATCCTCTAGATCGATAAATCTAACTCGTAAGACTATACTTATATTACATCCTATACAAAGCTTTATACTCTATCCAGGCTAGCTTTAAAAGCCAAGAAATATTTATAAAGCCTTAATACAAATTCTTTTCCTCTCTACTTTCTTCGTACTTCCTTCGTACTTTTGCCGTAACCCTCCTCCCTAAATATAATCGTTAGTCCGATATATTACATCGCGCAAAATATATATAGCTGTGAGAGGCTAGACCTCGTATAGCTCAAAGGTGTGGTTTCGAATATTCAATTAAGAGACTACATACATGCGAGCTCTCCCTCTATATATAGAGAGGAAGAGCTTCCTGAATATTCCAAGAAACTTGCAAGAAACTTGAATGACGAATACATGACGTCAGAAGAACAAAACAAGAAAGTGTGGAAAAGTAGAAACCTGTTTGGCAGTGGGGTGGGTAATGGCCAGTGCTAAGCAGGGACTTTGGTCAGTGCTCAACGACGACTTTGGTCAGTGCTTAGCGAGGGCATGGCCCGAGCCTCCATCATGGGTTCCAACCCTCACAATAGCTAATAGAACGTAGCATTTATTCTGCTAGTGAATCCCAGCTCACTAGGTAGATAGGCAATATCTTACCGTAGCTTGCAAGGAAGAAAGTAGAAGTCACACACTCTGACCCCGTACTATAGATTACTAACACCAGATTATACGTACTAGGATTATCTATCCGAACACATCTCATTCATTAAAAGCTCTACCACCGAAAGATTACTTACCTCCCTATCTTTTATTACCGTCGATTCTTGGTATACCTAATCTTTAATCTCTACCTTTCTATCAACCCACTTCAAAGTTAGTAACACGTAACATCTTCCTTGTTAAATCCTTAGTAAAGTTCTAACTCAGCCAACTACTTCTAATGTGTTACCCAGATGTAACTGTATCGGTACGGGGAAAGAGTACGTAATAATACTCGGAAATAAGAAGTTATACTTATTATATATCTTATCTATATCTACGATATGATTCTCCGAGTTTTTCTAAGCCTTTGAATAGGTAAGATGTTATTTTAGATAATAGCTCCTTCGGTACTAAAAGGGGTTTTGCGGTTATGTGGGATCGAGGATAGGAGAGGATAGGAGGGGGAAATTAAGTTAAAGGAGTGTGATTTGTTAAGAGAGAAACCTTGGTACCTTACTTTAAGTAAACCCTTCTACTTTGACTCTTGTAAAATAACGTACACTTCACTTCTTCACTTCTTCACTCCATCACTCCATTACTCTATTATCTATTATCTATCACTTCCTGACCTCCTCACCTCACCTTACTCCAACTCCTCTAAACAAAGCCCCATCTCTAATCCATCTCTCACCCTACTCTCACTCCCCTACCATACCATACCTCTCCCCTCCCCTCCCCCTTTAACCTCCTAACCTCCCTGCTG